AGCAAACATGTAAAAAGACATGTTTAACATTCCACTTCAGGCTTTTCTGTGGGGCTTTTATGGCTCAGGACAATTCCTTGAATGTGTTCTCTAGTTACTATTCCCACAAGCTGGGTGAACCGCTGCTTCCAATGACCGTCTCTCTTTCAACACCCTCTCAGATTCCTCAGGAAAAACAGCTCTAAGCTTTTAGTTAAAGTGACATCTCCCTAGAGATCTAGGTCACAGCCAGTCATGCAAGCTCATAGGACTGTGAAATAACAAGGTATGCGCCACCTCATAAGAATGGAGGAATCCTTTTTGTTATAATTACATGCACTATCGTTTACCATGGAGATATTTGGATGGCTTTTCCCATAAAGACACGGACAACAGATGTGGGCTTTGTGACATGCCCACCTGAGGCCATGTGCTAATGACCGTTAGCTGTAGACACCACCATTTGGACTTTTATTTTCATGTGTCATATGATATTATATTCACTGTTATGCTTTTCAATGATTAAAAAAAGGGAAGGCATTTCTCAGCACAGTAAATTTACATAAACAGAACTGATCTGGTTTGGCCAGGAGGCTGGTGTTTTGCTCACCCCTGCTGTGGTAGTCATGAGAGAAGAGAGTCAGTCAGTCACTGTAACAAGCACCTGATCAGGAGAAATGGGTTGTTGGGGCTCACAGGGTCAGAGGTGTCATTCCAAGCCCTGCCACCTCATGGCCAGAGTCTCCTTAAGGTCTTCCCCCTAATTCTGTCACCTCTCAACAGCCTTCAGTGTGTGGGCCTTCAGGGGGATGCTTCACATATCCTATAGCACTCTTGATTGTGATGAGAGAGAGAGAGAGAGAGAGAGAGAGAGAGAGAGAGAGAGAGAGAGAGAGAGAGAGAGAGCACCAGAGGGAGGGAAGAGGAGAGAGAGAGGAGGCAGGGTACTATTTCCAAAAAGCAGCAAAGTGATTCTTTGTTAAGAGATGACAGATGCTTCACATTATACTGACTGGTTCCTACACACCTGTATTTCTCATATGTGGCCACTTCACTTGAAGTTTCATATCTTCTCTCTTTCTTTTGTAGAAAACAAGTATTTGGCAAACACATGCCATATATCCATTGAAGCAGTGTGCGAGGGTCAATGAAAACATGTTTTCTAAATTTAAAAAGAAGGAACAGAGGCCGTATATTTGAGAGAGGGTGACGATGGTGATTACATGGAAAGAGATCAGAGGGAGGAAAGAGAAGGGATTCTAACTTCAAAAAGTAAAATAACCGTGTTTTCTAAAATCAGAATGAGTCGAAGCTAAAGTTGAATCTGCTGTGGGGTGGCGTGAAGTAACTGAGAATTAGCGGATGGCCCTACAGTAAGGGTGGCGGTGAGGGAGAAGAGAGCACCTTTTCCCCCTCCCCTCTGTTCCCACATTCACCTCCCCATGTTTACTCTGCGTGTTCAACCTGAGTAACATACATTTAGTTCCATAATTGTCATTGAAATTCTGTATATCTTCTCTAGTGTAGCTCACTCAATAGCTAAGCCTACAAGAAATGTTTACAATTGTTCTTAAGGGTGAGTGGTGACCCCGTGAGTGGCTGGAGATCATTGTCTGGGTGACTGATTATGTAAGATTGTGTCCTGATGGCCACCCTTGGAAGCAGTGACTCACCAGGAGGTCCAAAGGCTGGATAGGGCTGAGATTCATGGTGGCAAAATTGACCTGTAACAAAATCTGTAGAGAAAGGCACAAGGGGGAGGGGCAGAACTCCCTGGAAGCTGGCAGGAGCTGGTCATGCAGGCCTTCCTGCCTAGGCTTAGCAGAATCCTACACTTGCTGGGGGTGGGGGCGAGATATTGGGTGAATCATGTCCATTATCCAAGCTTCACAAACCACCCACATCAGAGAGAGAACCACAGTGACACTTTTCAGAATTCCAAGTTCCCAGATGCCAACAAAGAGCCACAGAAGCCTGGCTGTGGTGACGCACACCTCTAATCCCAACACTGGGGAGGCAGAGGCAGGCGGATCTCTGTGAGTTCAAGGCCAGCCTGGACTACAGAGCGAGTTCCAGGACAGCGAGAGCTACACAGAGAAACCCTGTCTCAAAGAAAAGTGAACACTGAAAGCTCCAGGCCTGCTGCCTTCACACTTTGTCGGAGCTCAGCAGTGGCCTGTAGACTAATGATCTGAGAGTTCAAAGGCCGGGCCCCTTTGAAGTCTAGGTCACTTAGCAGCTATAGAATGACAGTGTCTTATAGGTGGAGCTCAGTCTTCTAAGTGCTCTCTGTTTTCCTGTAGAATCGTGTGTTTGTGGTGTGTGCACACATATCTGTGTGCATACATGTGCGCTGAGCATGGGTCTGTGTGCGGTGGCATGTGTGTGCATAGCATGTATATGTGTGAGTGTGTGTATGTCTGTGTGTGTGAGTGTCTGTGTGTGAGTGTATGTATCTGTGTGTGTGTGTTTGTGAGTGTGTGTGTCTATGTCTCTGTGTGTGTGAGTTCGTGTGAGTGTCTGTGTGTGAGTGTCTGTGTGTGAGTCTGTGTGTGAGTCTGTCTGTGTGTGTGTGTCTGTGTGTGTGTGTATGAATGTGGGTGGACATGTATATATTCATATGCTGGTGCATATGCTTGTGCAGAGGCAGGGCCTCTGGCTCCTGGTATACCTTCACATGTCCACTAGTTTCTGCTGTAATTTTCTGAGTTGCTAGAGGCTGATTTCTGGCACTGAAAGTGTCCTCAGGCTGGTCCATGGTGACTGATTTACTTCCTGCAGTGTAAATGATGACTCCGAATCCTTTGCTCCTTTGTCCAAATGTTCCCCCACCTGGCACCAGGCCACTGGCTGTCAGACCACCTGTGCTGGAAGCCCTGCCCATCCTCTGTCCTTCCTGCCATACTTATAAAAACACTGCCCACCCCCTGGATGTCTCCAGAAGTCACAGTTTGTGAAACCAGCACCCCTCAGACTTCTGCTGTCTGTGAGATATTATCCCCTGATCCCTCATTCCATCTTGTAGGTCCCCAGTATACTTCTTACCATGAGATTATTGGTTGGAAATACTCTCTCAGATCTTTGAAGGAGATACTGGAACCTTAGGATTCTGTGTAGTTTTTGTCTTGAGGTAGGTAAGCCATTTTCTCGATATATTTTAGGATCTTCTGTTGATGAAATCCTGTGGCTACAGGTTCCCTCTGCCCTCTCTCTTCTCCTTTGAATTATTTTCAGCTCTCAGTCCCCTATGACCCTACAGGGTATGAGTTATCCTTTGCTGTCTGCTGAACATTTCCAGAAAAGCATCGTCCACTTCTACTGTCTCAAGTCTCATTGGTTTCATACACAGCTACATTCTAAGCTGATATCAAGCGATACCACGGAAGAGACGTGTGTGTGTGTGTGTGTGTGTGTGTGTGTGTGTGTGTGTGTGTCCTGGACAGAACAGTAGGAGCAGCCAATCTCCAGACATGCATTCAGCAGTGCCCCCCCTCCATGTAATCCCCGTGTATATGTTTAAATGTCAGTATTTAAAATTGAAGTGAACTTAGGAAAAATCATTTCATTTCAATATGGGTTTTGTTGTTTGTCAGTAATGAGGAGCCCTCTACCAGGAGGGACATGGCTTGAGTTGGTTCTCCGTCATCATTTTCCTTTCCCAACCTCTTTAACAATTGCAGTCCTTGTCCCCCGTGGATCTGTGAGTAAGAACTAGGAGTCAGTGTTACTGCACACTGTTGGGTGTGGCTGCAGGTGTCTATGCAGCTCTCTGGTGAGCTGGGTTGTCTCCCGCTGTGAGTGCTGTATTCAAAACATCTGCAAAGAAAATGTATCATGCTCTTTCTGATCTGGGTATTTGGGGCCTATAGAGACATTTTTTGCTGGATAATTTTACTAGATAATTTTACATTAATAGACACACATAAGTAAATCCTCTTAAGCTCAGGTGGGGAAGTCCAAAAAAAGTACATGAGAAGCAGAAAAACATGCATGGGGGGAGGAGTCTGACATGAGATTAAGTAGCAGGACCTTGAGGTCCAAGCAGACAGCATAGATAAGGGCCCAGGATGAAGGGACCATAAAATTATATGGAGTCAGATTGTTTTTTTTTTTTACCTTAAAATGATCGAGCATCATTTTAAACACAAGCAAGCATGGGTGTTCCCTACTGAGGACATGGTGTGGGTATACACCCTTTCCAAGCACACACATGCCTGGTACCCAGAAGCCTCCATGTACACATGACATGGGACATGAGGCCTTGGGTGTTGATAGGAGGTCATGTCTTCCTGTCACACACAGTGCTGTCTGGGAACCACACCTCTTGAAACACAAACACTCATAGATCAGGCAGAAAATTAATGTGCATGTTGCAGAGATGCTACCCAAAAAGAAACTATGAATCATGACTGGTATTTTCAATGTTCTTTACTAATCTAATCGAAGGACTCTGGGTGTTATTTAAAGTTTTGTTTGTTGGTTACTAGAATAGCTTGCCCAGCACCAGATCCCTCTCTGTGTACTGGGATGTGGTGTGTACAGTGCCACGCCCCTCAGTCACTGGGATGCTGTATGATATCGGTAGATCAGGTCTTCCCTAGCAGAACCCACATCCAGGAAGGGAACAGACACCCAGGTCATCAGTCATCATGCCACTTGTTGGGGAGTGACGCCTGCTATAAAGTAAAGGAAAGTGGGTAGACAGCTACAGAGTATTGTTCCAACTCTGGAATGGCCTTCTGTACAGCAGCATTTAAACATGGCCAGGGACTCAGAGGAACCTGCTGGAGCCAAGTGCCAATGAATTCCTATGTATTTATGAGGACACTTCTGACCCAGCAGATCCCACAAGAACATCTGGAAAGAGTCCGCCACGTCTGTTAGCTACACCATATGGACCATTGTAGTACACATCACTTCACTGTCATCCCAGGGGTCCAGTGGGAACAAATGCTTTGCATTCCTACCGTACGCTAGGATATGATGATGGCTCTCATTGGTTTTCGTTTTGTTTTCCACAGGGTCCGTCTTGCTGGGAAGATGTCTTAATTCCAAACCGGATGAGTGGCGTATGCCAATCTCCAGACTGCCCTGGAACCAGAGCAGTAAGTGCCCGACTAAATTAATTACTTATGAACTTAGAGAATAACTGTGTTCTCGGTGTTTACTAGGAAATTAGGATAGAGGCCAAAGGGCCAGCTCACTTCTTCCAGCTAGAGATCCTGAGAGAAGTAGGTCAGTGTCCAGATGTGCTAGCCATGTCCACCAAAACTCTCCCCATGTCCTTACCTTCAGTGTCACTTCCCTAGGAGCCGCTGTTTCTGGTGGTGATGCATAAAGGCAACAGGGACAGCTCAGAGCGGGAGAGGCGGTCTTCCACCCGGACGAGCACACCAGCTGGTTGCCCAGTGCCAAGTGTTCAGCTTGAAAGTACACACAAGTAACATTATAAGGGCTGAGCAGGTTACATATAGGGATATATATGTAATATACATATAGATGTATGCAAGCAATAACAATTAGCCAAAAATAAAAGAGGCCGTGTATTTGAAGGAGAGTGGGGAGTGATGTATGGGAGGGTTTGAAGAGAGGGAAGGAAAGGGAAATATTGTCATTCTAATCTCAAAGAGAGAAAGGAAGGAAGGAAACCAGTTTTCTCTACTCCTAAACCATAGCAACCAATAGAGATTTCTGTGCCCTCAAAGGGTATAGGTGGTGTGGGTTGATGTCTCAGTTGGTAAAGTGCTTGCTATGGAGGCGAGAAGCTGAGTTCAGTCCCAGACACTCACACAGAAGGGCAGGCACCATGCCTGGCATGTGTCTGTGACATGGAACAGTGGAGGCAAACACAGACAGATCAGTCTAGCTGAATCGGTAGTCTACAGGCTCAGTGAGACCTTATTTCAAAAACTGAGAGTTATTGGAGGATGACATCCAGGTTAATGTACCTATTCTCAGGCATGCCCACATACGTGAAAATTTACAACACACACACACACACACACACACATACACACACACACACACACACACACACACTCACTCTCAGGTTAAGAGCTCAGTTGCTAATACTGCCCTCGCCTGAGATGCCATTTGCCAGCCCATGTTTATCCTGAGATTCCAACCAACCAGGTGTAAACCTAGGTTCCTACAGCCTCTTCCACTGGGTTGGATTGTTCAGGGAAACCCTTACTTCCCAGAGACCACCAGTCACAAATCTGCTTGTTGACATAAAACAGCACTTACCACCTGGAAGGTCCCACACGTCATCAGAAATCCCTGCTGGGAAGCAAGGCCACAGACTCAAGTGTCTATTTCAAACGTCGGGGTTGAAATGTGCTCATTTAAAAGCCTTACAGTGACATTTAGAGGTGATTAAAGCAGTCAAGGAAGATCCAGTTCTGAGGCTAGCAAAAGAAAACTGAGACAGAGGGCCAGCCTGTCTCCCAGCCTGTAGTTTGTGTTTGGTTCATCTCTTTCTCGTCTTTGAAATGATGGGAAGTTAGAAAATTTATCATGGCTGATGGGCTCGTTGACTGAATTACTATTCTCTGCTCTAAGTGATGTTTCCCTTTTCACAACACACACTTCACATGGAGGAGATGCTTCTCAGGGACCCTGAGCTCTTAAACGACGTTTATGGTTGTGTCACGCTTATCATTTGTATATTGTAGTACTTTCAACCTCAAAAACCGCAGGCCAGCGCTGCTCTGGCTCCATGCGTTTCCGGAGCTGTAAGCACTGTCTGACGTGGCGCCAACACAAATGTCAGTTCCCAGGCTGTCAGAGCCAGCTGGCAGTTCACATCTTCTCTAAGGAGCAAAGTCCACCAACAGTAACAGGTACAGTGTTTGAGCTGAGTGGTTAGATGGCCTGTTCTCACCAGGCTGCCGGTGATTGTAGGAACCTGAGAGCAGCGAGCAGCTGCAGGCAAGCGTCCTCCATCACTCCAGGGCTAGGGACCACAGACAGACCCTTTATGAATGCAAATGCCAAAGAAAGAAATCTTGAGAAAATAACGACCTATGTATCAATCACAAATGTCAAGTCATGATGCAGCCTTGTGAGTTTCCCACCGGTGTGAAATTAAAGCATATTACTTTCTAGAGCAGAATTCTTAATTATAATTATATGCATATGTATGAACATGTATATTTATACTATACACAACAATAGATGTGACTATGTATAATTGTGATATGTATGGGTGTTGACTTGTGTATGAGCAACAGATGGAAGGATAGACAGGAGATAGAAAGATGGTTGATATATATGTATATAATATGTATAAAATATATAATGTTTATCTGGGTTGTATATGACATCTTGGACTCTATATATTTAAAATTCAAAAGAGTAAAAAGAGCAGAGTTTCTGATAGATTCTTAATTAGTATCTTATATATTAAATATAGTCTAACTAGATCATTTTCAATAGCATCAAGGTTTAACCTTAGTTATTGAGATAGTTAATGTGGGGATTGACGAGATGGCTCGGTTGGTGAAATGCTTGTGCTGCAAACAAAACGACCTGAGCTTGGTCCCCAGAGTGTGCATTTTTAAAAGCCAGGTGTGGTGTCACACACTGGTGCCGGCGAGGCTGAGGAAGGTAGACTTCTGAGACTCTCGGGCCAGCTAGCCACCTATGCAGTGAATCGTAGGTCCAGTGAGAAACCCTGTCATGAAGCATAAGTATGGACAGTATCTGAGGCAGGACACTGAAATCCACATGTCCTCTAACCCATGTGCACACACACAGGACACTGAAATCCACATGTCCTCTAACCCATGTGCACACACACAGGACCCTGAAATCCACATGTCCTCTAACCCATGTGCACACACACAGGACCCTGAAATCCACATGTCCTCTAACCCATGTGCACACACACAGGACCCTGAAATCCACATATCCTCTAACCCATGTGCACACACACAGGACCCTGAAATCCACATGTCCTCTAACCCATGTGCAAACACAGGACCCTGAAATCCACATGTCCTCTGAACCCATGTGCACACACACAGGACACTGAAATCCACATGTCCTCTGAACCCATGTGCACACACACAGGACCCTGAAATCCACATGTCCTCTGAACCCATGTGCACACACACAGGACACTGAAATCCACATGTCCTCTAACCCATGTGCACACACACAGGACCCTGAAATCCACATGTCCTCTGAACCCATGTGCACACACACAGAACACTTAAATCCACATGTCCTCTGAACCCATGTGCACACACACAGGACCCTGAAATCCACATGTCCTCTGAACCCATGTGCACACACACAGGACACTGAAATCCACATGTCCCCTAACCCATATGCACACACACAGGACCCTGAAATCCACATGTCCTCTGAACCCATGTGCACACACACAGGACCCTGAAATCCACATGTCCTCTGAACCCATGTGCACACACACAGGACACTGAAATCCACATGTCCTCTGAACCCATGTGCACACACACAGGACACTGAAATCCACATGTCCTCTGAACCCATGTGCACACACACAGGACACTGAAATCCACATGTCCTCTAACCCATGTGCACACACACAGGACACTGAAATCCACATGTCCTCTGAACCCATGTGCACACACACAGGACACTGAAATCCACATGTCCTCTGAACCCATGTGCACACACACAGGACACTGAAATCCACATGTCCTCTAACCCATGTGCACACACACAGGGAAACCAGTGCATAAAATGCAGTTCACCCTAACTCGCTTAGACAGGGCACTCTGAAATGGTTCAGGTGCACAGCAACAGCTGATCTTTCATGAAGGAGCCTGGCATTCATTCGTAAACACACCTTAGCCATTGCTAAAAAATCAGCTTACAGGGAATATTCTCAAGATTCAAAGGGAACGCACTCAATCAGAAGTTTCTGCACCAGTGAGATTAATTCAACTCTGGATATGGCAGAAGGCTTCGTATATGCTATGCAAGATTTCTTTCGTATTTTTCCTTCTTCAATAGCCTTGACAGCTGAGATTGTGTCCATACTTGTCTGTCTATATGTTGGACAACATGTGTTTATCTCATTTACACACACATAGGCTAAGGAGAACCCAGAGGTCCTGGTGTCAAGGCATTCCAAGCCTCCTGAAGGCACAAAGTCTTAATATCAAACGTTTCCCTGCCAAGATCCATGGTCTCAGTGGTGTGCTTGTGTACATGAGCCATTTCTCAGGCAGCAGGCAGATGTCTCCTCTCCCTCACACCTGGCAGCTGAGTGTCAGGATTAGGGGGTGGGCATCTCTTCAGGTTAAATGGATTATTACTTCAAAGCAACAAATAACTAAGATCATTGTTTAGGTGTGTGTGTGTGTGTGTGTGTGTGTGTGTGTATGTATTTACAGCAATTAATAGAAAAAGAGGCTCTGAATTAGAAAGAGAACAAGGAGGAGTAGATGGGAGGCTTTGGAGGGAAAATGATGAAATTATAATCTCTAAAGAAGTAATTTAAAAGATTCTTGAAGGGATGTTAATCTCACTATTAGGAACCAAGAACATATATCAATTTTATATTTATACAAAACGATAGTTTCATGAAATTCTGTGTCAAATTACAGACTTTCATTCTGATCATGTGATTTTGATAGGAGTTAAATTGTTTTAGGTCATACTCTTTTTTTTTTAATCAAAAAGTTGAGGATCCCTAAGAATAGTTATGAGATTTGTGTCACATGACATATGATACTTAAAACCATCCCCTGACCATAATCAATAATTATCAAACTTGACATAACAAATAGTTTTTAATCTTAGTTCATATACAATTTATTTCTCTCTGTCTCTGTCTCTCTCTCTGTCTCTCTCTCCTCTTTCTCATACACACACACACACACACACACACACACACACACACACACACCCCATTGGGTTCAGTCTATGTGCTGGAGTGCTGGTTTGAGGAAAAGGGAATATTCCACGTCAGTATCTCTGATTTCATCTTTTTGGGAAATGTCAATACAAAATGCATAATAAGTAAGAGTTTCCTAATGCTGAGCAATTTTGATTTATAGGTCACTTGTATATTTCCTTTTCAAAAGTGTCCCAGTGTGTTCAGATGATCACA